CTGGGTTTTAGCTCAAACCCAGGACACATGAGAAGAAGATTGTGAGACACTACCTGAGCTCTGTGTAACCTCTTTAGCTCCTCTTGCTTTGCTTGTCTACGGGCAGCCTTCTGTACTCGCCGGGTCAGCTTGGCATTCAGCTCCTCTTCTGTGTAGCCTCTCTGAAGGAAGGGAAAAACAGGAGCAGATTTTATTTGCATGCTCAGACGTATGGGGGGAGGGATGATCATTTTGTCTTCCAAAAGGGAGGTGTTCTGTCGTTGCCATGGCTGTGTCAAAAGTCAAGCTTCAGTAGGCCAAGGTGTTCACATTGCCGTGAGCAACAATTTCAGGGTCAAATCAGGAGTGAAGAAACATGTAAGCCAGCTGCAAAGCTGTGATTTTATATATCCCATCCCGTCTTCCACTGCACCATGAAACCTCTCCCCAAAGATCAAACCAATTTTTATTCTATTTCTCAACAGATTTAATTTAGACAAATGGATTTAGTTAAATCAGTGAGTACAATACTGAGGGGTCATCTCAATTTTAGAAGGTAAAGGCAGGTCTACATGAACAGTTACACTAGTATAAGCTAAGAAATTATTAAGTGGTAATGGGATTTTCCTCTCTCTATTTTATTCTGGAACAAGAACATCCATAGCTGGGAGTGATACTGGTATAATCAGTAATGACTATCCGTGTAAATTTGTGCAACCTTTCTATGAATCAAGAAGGCAAAAATACATTTGATAGCAAACTGACATTCTGGTGTGAGATAGAAATCCCATTTCTAGAGGAACCCCACAAAACCAGCTGGTGTAAAACAGAGCAAACAACCCCTAAAATGCAAGTAGATTATTACAACACCAGAAGCCATCCAAAAGGAGAAAGGCTATGTTCACAGAAATAGAAAGGTACTTCCTCCTTTTTTCTTTTTTTACATTACTGTTTAGGGTTTAGGTTTTTACATTACTGTTTAGAGTTTAGTATTTTATCAGGTATACCACTCGGCCTCAAAAATATAGTAGAAAAGGGAGAATAGCTTCGCACTGGACTCTATCTCTAGGCTATAATGGTCCAGTTGCCTCTAAAATCCAAGCAGCTATGGACTGCTGCAACTTGGTTGTGTTGTGGTCTAGGAGGGCTTCCTCTCGGACTTTTAAGAGTGTCAAATAAACTTCACAACTGCACTGTGTGACTACAGTGAAGGTAAGAACTCTCTTCCCACATGCATGTATGTAATCTGTAAGGGACAGCTGTAAACAGATGTCTTCCACTTCTGGAAAGAGATCTTCTCCATGGACAGCCAACTTTAAGGACAAAATATTAAGATAGATCACCCTGAAATTTGCCTTATCTAGTTACTCTACTGACACATTCATCAGCTTACCTCTGGTTTAATGATCTCAGTGAAAACAGTTTACTGTAGGATTGCAGCTCTATTAAGAATCCCTCAGATATGCGGTTAGCAAGCACCACTGTTAAAGCTCCAAGAAGTTAACAGTTTACTCTTTCTTTTTTTAAAACACAAAATCCATAATGATCAGAAGGTAAAGGGA